GCCTGAAACAGCTCTCAGGTAATGTGTTCCTGAGATACTGAAAACCTGGGGGAAGGGGAGCCATATTTTGTTGTAAGGATGATTTCTTTGTGTGCCCACAACAGAACTTGTGAAAAAAAAAAAAAAAAAAAACTAAAACAAACTAACCTTTCTGTCTGCTCCCCGAAAAACCATCTTCAACTTCCCAGACGAATTACCCTCCTTTTACAGAATTCCAGATAAATTTCACTCCATAGGCTATTTCTAATCCTCCTCCATTGTGTGTGATACCTATGGCAAAGGCTTCCCTTCAGACCTTTTCTGAATGCCCCAGAAATTCCATTTTTTAAAAACGAGAAAAGGTATCATGAACAACTGTTCTGTTTAAGCCAGTGTCATGATACTGTCATGAGAAACAGCATTATCAAGGTCCTACTCTTTGACACTAGGAAGAAAAAGTAGCACAAAGTCAAATATGAGTGTCTAAGAATTCAAGACAGATACACAACGCGTGATCATTTACTTGGACCTAAACTGACTTTCCATAGTGTATTTAAAAATGATTCCATTTTGAAAGGCTTAATCAATATACATTCTTTTCAGGATCACCTTTCTTGAGAAAAGTTAATTAACCCTACCCTGTTGTCTTCTAGCAACCAGTCCTCTTCATTGCAAGGCGTTTCTCTTAAAACTTCCATGGGCGCTAAGAAATAGGACACCACCTCGAATGAAATGGGAATCAACGTGTAACACAGACTCCAAATGTGGCAGGCACACAGGTAAGTGGGTGAAAGCCTTTTTTTCTCATTGACTCCTAATCCATGAAGGAAATGTATATATTATTGACCGCTGTATAAATGAGAGAACTGCTGTCACGCAAAGCTAATTTTCTTAAACTTTGACAGCTGTATTTGCACCTAGCTTGTTCTCTGCAAAGCCTTATTTTATCATCCCCATCTTTCCCCAGTTTCTTCCACAGCCTCTTTTATATATTAAAAAGTTAAATGGTGTGCTTCTCTTCACAGGCAGCGGCTGGAAGCAGAAGACACCCATAGAGGACCTCCATTGGTCAGCTATAACCTGCAGCCCCTGCCCTTCCCTGCTAGGGGGCACTAGTGCACACAGGCGTCCAAAAGACTTCTAAAGAAGGGTGTAGAGATGAATTAGTCATCTTTGAATTACTCTTACCTTTTTGAATGCACCAATCTGAGAGAAAATGAGGAAGGGACTTTCAGTAAAATAAATTTGTATCAACAACAATCAAAATATCAAAAGACAGATCATTTTCTGTGAATTCCCTCCAAGCAAGGGCGATGATCTGAGAAAACATTACCACATGGTGCTATGCAACGCAAAGTTTATAACACCTCTCATTTTGGGAAAGTTGCAGAAAATGCAGCAAGGTGTATTTTGCCAACAAGAAAGGGGAGAGAAGGCACATAAACAAGTTACTCCAGGAATCAAAGCCATGATTGTATTTGTGCTGTTTTTATTATAAAATAATCCTCCTTGCTAAACTTGCTGCTTGCTAATAAAACCAATAGCAAAACTGGTACTTACACACAATTATTGCATGAAAAGCAGTTATTTTGTCTTTAAATACGGTGGTAGCCTACTGTGTTAGCACCTGCCTGTATTCTAGTACAGTGAGAAAGGATCAAATTCCACCGAACCTGAGCAATTTACTGAGATTCTATCTTAAAACAAAAACAGGGTTGGGAATGTGGCTCAGGGTCTCAGCCCCGAGTTCAATCATCAGAACCTAAAAACAAACAAAAATCACGTTCTTGTTTTGCATACAAATGGTTTTTAAAACTTTTTATTTATGATAAATATTTTACCAAAATCATTGGATTATAAAAAGTCCATAATCTATGTACAGGACTGTTCTATAACCACAAAAACCCCATCATGATATCCCTTTGTTTTTGCATTCTCCCAAACATTAATCTGTTCTGTTTCTAAGGTTTTATCATTTTGAGTCTGCTACATTAATGGGAACAGAGAGTGAATAATATTTTGAGATTAATTAAAAAAAACTAAGCATAATGGGCTTGAGATTCAATCAGGATGTTACATCTACTAATAGTTCATTCCTTTTTATTGCTGAGTAAATTTTTATTGTATAGATGGGCCAGATTTTGTTTATTTATCCACAGAATGATATTTGAGTACTTTCTAATATTTTGCCATCATTCAAAAACATTTGTGTATAGGTTTTTATTTGAACATGTGCTTTTTCTTTGGCATGAATGTCCAGGAATTCAATTGCTAAGCTGTATTCTAAATAGACTATTGATCTGTTTTTTGAAGAGACTGTACCTTTTACATCCGCACCAATAACTTGTGAGAGATCTTGCATTTGGTATTATTACTCTATTTTCCAAAAACCCCTATTTTACAGAATCTTAGTTCTCGTAGTTGAGTAGGTAGCCCACCACAGCCCACTATATTTAACTTATTTTGCCCTAATGGATAATAGTACTGAGCTTTTCTTTCTAGTGCTGGGGACTGAACCCAGGGCCTTACAGGTTCAGGAAGGGGCTCTTCCATGGAGCCACATCCCTCACTCTTCATAGTTGGACATTTTTTTGTTGAATTATTTGCCATCCTTATAACCTCTTTGCTGAGCAATGTGTTCAGGCCTTTTTCCTGTTTTATAGGTTTTTTTTAAATTGAGTTTTTAGACTTTATTTTACACATGCTGAGGTCACACTTTGCAAATTGGAAATTACATATCTTAAGTTAACTCATTTTCAACTCAGTGACTATTGTATTCTTTCTGCTGTTTTATGGAAAACATTCTTGGGTATGGAAGTACTTCTGTAGACAAGAGTCTCTTTTCTGCAGTGGCTCCAAACCAATGTAAAGGATCCCACGTGGGCAACCCCGGCCTGCCTTGTGCGCAGGCACAGGACTTGGGACACCAGGTGGGAACCACTTGGCCTAACCTAAGGCGTGTTTTTGGCTGGTCAACTACCTGGGATCTTGAATTATATGCTATTGTTGGCTATTCAGAGATTATTATCCAGGATGAGGAATTTCAAGTGTTACAGAGAAATTTCATGGATAAGCACTCCCAGGGACAAGGAAATAAACTCATCCATGGCCCGAAGTGTGTTTGGAAAGTGGTCTATTAAGATCATTGTTGATTTCTGTTAATTTCTAGAGTTAACAGGGCAGCTTTCACATGGCCAACCATTTTGGGTTACCCTAAAATAAAATAGCAGGTGATGTATTTGATGTGCTGCTCACAGTTCTGGATACTCTGGATTCTAAAGACAGGCTTCTGGAATGTACTTAAGCAGTAGTTCAGTGACTTCTTTGCCCAAATCACGTTGGAGGCCAGGTTTCCAGAAGAACTGGGGCATGGTTCTCCCTCTTAGCAATATCTGGACAGCAGGGACCCATTGGCTGGGTGATAATTGAGGGGAAATAGTGATCCATTCTGGTGGTCTTCAGTAAGTATTGATGAGTAGAAACCAAAATGACCTTCTGGGACCCCTGTATCTCTGCAAACACTTTCTAGCTCTCCTATCAGAGGAAATAATTCTCCAAGGAGCTTCTAGTCAGTGTAGCTGGGGCAAATTGAGGGCCGGCATTCTATTTGAGGGGCATTTCCCCAGCACTCATGTTGTTGCTATGTCAACCATATGGAATAGCCTACCATCAATAACCGCTTTTTGCCCAACTACCACAGCCAGCATAAAGTCATGTCTTCACAGGTTTCTCTTTGAGTAAAAGTAAAAAATCTTCCAGTCTAAGTGGCTGAGCTGTGTGGAGTTTTGATTCCAGTGAACTTATCACAAATGTCATGATAGTTCTGGAGAACTTTGAGGCTCCTATTTTCTGCCCAATGGTCTGAGGGAAATAAGAGGTGCTTGGGCTATCGAGTCCATTGAAAGCCAGGGCTTTTGCTAAAAGCTACAAGTGCAAGTTGATTCTCAATCTTGGGTTTGTGGCCCAGTGTGTATCATCATTGATCCTGATCTAGTTTCTATGATAAACTTCTTTTTAAAGCATCATTTGGGATTTTATTTTAAAGAAATGAATACTCAGGGTCACTTAGTGAACCTAATATTGAAATTTCCATGAGTACTCTTTTAAAAACAGAAGCATTAGATACTATACTTTTTATTGTTCTATGAAGGCAGAACTTTTTTATATTATAGCTTCTATTTCATTGGGCACCAATAAATGAAGTCTATGTACTGAAAATGTACCAAAAGATGCTGTTTCATATAGCATAACAGAGTTATCGTGTATGTTGACATAAAGTCCTTTCCATATGGATTAATTCATTATGCTTTCTGTTGGGGCAGAAGAAGTTTGGTAAAAATGTGATTTTGCAAGCTCTGCTATTCTAACTACATCCTTCTTCCTGTCAAAATTCTCCTGCCAAAATGGTGTTCCACTGGCCTAGCTCAGCATGCATAAGAGAGGGCAGCAAATGGTCTTTATGGTCATCTGTCTGGCTTTGTTAAGGCATATACAGACTGGAAAACTACCTCATACTGCCAGAAAAGAGAAAAATACAAGACTTTAATGGTCAGTTGGTAGTTTTGACTTTTTAAAGGTAAAAATATGATACTGTTCTAGGAAAAAAGGTATCTGTATTTAAAGGAACATTTATCTCAGGAACAAACTAATATGATCATTCAATCTTCATAGTACAAATGGTATTAATATAGAACTTCAGCCTTCCCTAATTAAAAATAAATCACATCTATGTGTCATAGCATGTAAAGGCTATCCTCCTTGAATGAAAATTCGTATAACACTTGCTTCTCTTTATTAAACAAATAAAACAATAAGATATCTTCCCCAAATTAAAAAAATGAGCACACATTAAAGAGAGAAGTTAGTACAATGGGAAAGAAAACAAAACTGTATTCTGGCTGTCCACTAGTTAGTCACGTAGTTCTGTTCCAGTTCCGTAACTCACAGCAGCACAACATTCCATATATCAGCTTGAGACAGGAATAACAACTTTCAACAAAGTTGCTGAAAATGATGAGAAATAATGTGAGTGGAAAATGTCTTGTAAAATGTAAAGTTCTGTACATATTGGTAAGTGTGAAAATGGGTTTTATTCTGAGGCTACTTGAAATGTTGTGCAGCACCGGGTATCACTTGACTTGGAAGTGCCAACTATTAGCCACACAGGATCTGTGTCATTCCTGCAGCTCACTCTGCTGCCCTAACTGTCTGCAAGCATCTTATATATTAGCTTCGAAAGAATTCTGTGAGGTAGAAAGTTAAATATTTGAGTGTTGACTTCTTTGCTCTGTCACTGGCTTGTAAGTGCTGGTTTTAATCCCATCTATAGAAGTGAGCTAGAAAAATAAGTAGACTACAAATACATAGCTCATTTTGGAAAAATGATTTCACCTGTATTCATAGATCTTCTTGTTACTGAACATCTTTAATATACGTGTCAATTCTTATGACTGTCTTGAGAGAAGAGAATCTGTTTCCCCAGAGATCAAATGACTTATTGTCTATTAACAGATGGGGAACTAGGAGTCTGACTAACGCAGAATTTTACCTGATGCTCTGACTATGTGGAAGTAAATATTCTTAAGTAATTTAGTTTACAGTATACTAACTTGTATGTAGATATAACTCCAAGAAAAATATAAGTATTTAGAAATCCCAGTGCTCTGGAAGGAAACCTGAGTCCTTCACAGGAAAGTGCTAAATCATGAGGCTTTTATTCAGTTAGCATCACTTGTCATTTCATAATAGTTTCTAACCTAAGCATGCAAAGGACCACATCTGTCTCCATGCACACAACTCAGAGTGTCTCCTTAACTGCATAGATGTTTACGTTTATTCTTTCACGTGACCTCAGGTTATCACCAGGTAAACTCTATTTTATGGACAAGTAGCTAGTTACATCCCATGTGAATGATGTAAGTTACACTCTTAATGACTAAATTTGAAAGCAGATAACACTATAGCTTGTGAACATGAGCCAGTAACTCCTAGGATCAGGGCCAAATCTCATTGCCTATCATGGCGTCAGTCTTAGAGGAGCCTTAAGTTTTGGCGAAGTTAGGTCTTCACTCACGGTGCTTTGAATAGCATTGACAGGAAACGCTAGAATAAGTAGTTCTAATGTAGGGTGAGGATTCCAAACCCCAAAATTCAAAGTACTTCAATTCCTAAAAATTTTAAAGTGCTTGACAGGATGTCACAAGAGGAAAATCCCATACCATCAAACTTTGTTTTATGTACAAAATTATTTGTATGTAAATGTTATATAATGTTACCTATAAGATGTTATATAAAATTACCTTCTGGCTATTGAACATATATGAGACCTATTAAACATAAATTGATTTATTGTTTAGATTTGAATCCCATCTCCAAGATAACAAATTTTATTAGTATGCAAACATTCCAAAATCCCCAAGCCCCCAGACCTGAAACATGTCTGATCACAAATATCTTTGATAAATGATATTTAATCTGGAATGATAGGTGATAAAACTTTTACAGGACTCCTTAGTTAAAATTTTCTCGAATCACTCATATATACAGACCTTCTACCTGACTTAGAGACAGGTGCAATTCTAAAGGAAGACTATCCTCCATTTGTACTCTAATCATTGCCAACATTGATCACACAGGAGGAGGCACTTGGAGATCAAGAAAATGTTTCATAAAGATTAAAGTGTTATAAACAGATAAGGTGCTAGTATGCATGAATAAGAACAAAAACTGAGATCACCATCTGGCTTTTGAATTTGTAATAGTACTGCCTAACATTTAGTATAATGTATCAGGTGTGATGCTGAATGCTTTTATACTAACTCTGCACAGTGATTTTTATGGAGGAGGTGTCACTACCATCCCTATTTTATGGAAGAGGAAGCCAGGGATCAGAAAGGTCAAGTCAAGATTAGAGATCAAATACTTCTTAACATTTTATATTTTTAAAAACCTCAGGTAAGCTAAAGATTGAATAGAGATGAATGGAACTGATGTTTATGATGCTAGAACTTTAGGGCTTGCATGATCTTTAACGCAACCAACACTCATGGATTAGCCATCTGTGACTGATAACCTGTCACCACACCAATTCAGAAAAATCACATGATTTGGGGGAAAAGTCAACACAGCATTTAGTTCATTCCTTGCTATTTCCTTAAAACATTAAACTATTGTTCCACTTCCTAATGAAACAAGCAGACTGCTATAATGATTTCACTTTGCGCCAGCAATGTCTGACTGATGAGATAAGAGAGGAAAGACATGCAGAAAAATACAGACTGAGTTAGCAGATTGAGTTATGAAAATTGATTTAAATACATGGCCAACATGGGTGAGGTTAGAACTTAGGCATCATAGTACACTGTGTACTATGAGTATAATGCTCTGTTTTTCATAGAAGGACCTACCACAACTGTCGCTCTTACAAACATTATTGTGGCTTTATTTTTATTTTTATAAAATATTTGAGGTGCCTATTTTTTCAGAATAATAGTTTAAAGAGAAACACAGGTATATGAAAATCGGTCTGGGATTTTCTTTAAATGTGTGTTCTTATATTCTATTCGAGGGACAGGGACTGACAGTCTAGGAGACAGCGCAGTCGGTGCCTTGTCAAAACAAACTAAGTCATAACCAGTATAATTTAAGCCTTATGTTTATTTTAATGTATTTCATTTTACTGTGATTGAATCAATTAAAATGGTAAGTGTGGCTGACTACATCCATTATGTTTTCTGTTTTTTGTTTCGACTTGGTATTTTTTTGTCCTACCAAATACAGTGAAGAACAGACAATGTGAGCATGAGTCCAGGCCACTGAGAGTTAGACAGTGACACTCAAGCCTCAGCACCTTGTGGGAAAATTCTCCTGGGTGCTTTTTTGAGGCCCAGCTTCTTCACCTGTTAAATGAAAGTGCTCCAACTATCTGACTGGAATGAAGAATGTGGGGCAGACTTGAGCTCCAGATGAGCTCAGACTGAACCCAGTGACAAACCGGGTTACATCCTCTGCCTTTCTTTTTAAATTCTGAGATAAAGTCTCATTAAATTACTGAATTGCGTAGCTGGACTCAAACTGTTGACTCTTGCTGGGATTATAGCAGTGGAATTATGAGCGTGTGGCATATGCTTGGGCTTATACTATGTATTTTTTGAATTATAAAAAGATAGAAGATCAAGCTGTCACAAAAGGAGCGTCACACTTTTATTATGAAAAAAATTTAAAACTTATTCTACAAGGCTGGAATGAATTCTTCCTATGTACTTATTAGGAAATTAAGCTGACAGTTTAATTAATTAGTTATTGGTAGCTCATTTGACTTTGGCTTAATGTTTCCAGATAATACAGGACACTCAATTATATTCAGATATCCCATGCGTATGTGGTGCATACTTAGAATTCACTATTTGCTTAAAATTGAAATGTCACTGGTGCCTATATTTTTATTTGTTCAATCTGGCAACCTGTCTGGGTTGGAAAGGGTAAAAAAAAAATAAAGGAAGGAAAATTGGATGGAAGTAAAGTGGTCAAAATCATTTTTAGTTATCCAAATGTTGAATTTAATACTAAATAGAATGAAGTAAGATAAATAAGACAAGTAGAAATTCCCAAGATATTTTGTGTTGGACCAGCCCTGAGACACTCTGATGATGGTGGGAACCAGTCTTTTATTTTTTAAATACATGGTTAAGTTCAGAACATACTTTCTATTTTATCAGCTTCTTAAGGAAAGTAGTATGTCTTATTGCAAGATCTTATTGCAAGTATGTCTTATTGCAAGATTTGGGCACTTAAATGTAAGAATAAATTATCACTTAAAAGGAGAAATACTATTCTTTTAATCTTCTCACACTTATTTGATAAAGTCAACCATTTTGTGAGTGTAAAATACTTTCATCAATTTATAATATTCTACCGAACATATTTTGTAAATAGTACAAAAATAGTGTACAAATGGGTTAGTCAAGCCAAACATGCAACAGAGATGTTTCCCCCCACCTGGGCAGATATATGGGCCACCTTGGTCAATTATTCAACAATTATCTTTCCTGATTACCCAAGTCCCAGATAATTGTGATCTATCTTTACGTAGCACAAATGTGTCCATTTGAATTGTCAGTCTCACGTTTATAAGCAATGCTGATTATAAAGCTCTGTAATTAGGGGAGCAGAGAACAGGTGACTCAGGATTAGGAAGCATTCTTTCAGCCTAAATTTGTGAGTTCTAATGTGTCAGTGACAGAAGGGCCCAGTTTGAATGCAAATAGGAACTCATAGGTGCACCAGCCTTACTTACAACTTGAAAAAGAATGTGTCACAATCATGAAAATTAAGTCTATGCTACTAGGGCTACTAGTATCTTCCATTTAAATATTTTGCTAAATTTGCATTAATTTTTAGTCAATTTTCTCAACTGGCACACTGAACTAATGTTACCCGGTATTCTACAAAAGTCTGCTGAGAGCCTCATTTGTTACTAGGTTTATGATACTCTGTGTGATTTCAACTGCTCCCACTCCTAAACAGTACTACAGGAAGCCTTAGGAATTAGCCTCAATTCCTCCTTTTTTTCAACCTGAGTCAAATACTAAAATGATACTGAAAATGTTAGATGGCAGATTCAAGTGACTAAATAGAGGAGAAAATAAAGGTCTTTGGAGGTAACCTACTTAGGAATGGATGAGAGTGTGCATACACATTTTCAACAGTAGTAATGGCAACAATGTAATACGTGTATTGAATGACACTGTGTTTAGTGTTTTGCATGCTTTGTTTGTCTAATCCTCCTGTGTGATATTTTCATCATGCCCACTACATAGATAGGAAAGCCAAGTTATGGAGAGGTTGAGTCACTTGGGCAAGATCACATTCCTAGAAAGGGATGTTTAAGGATTAAAATTCTAAGCCTAAATCGAACTCAAACTCACTATACAACACTGTTGAAAGTGGAAAGACTTACTGTGAGCAGACAGCACTTGTGAGCATGTTTATCTGTGATTTGCCAGAACAGATACAGAACCCCACTGCTAATCAGATTAAAAAGTCAGTAATTGGGTCCTCAGGACATGTGGTTAAAAACAGTCCAGGAAACAAAAAAATCTAATGCCAAAGTGCAGGAGGTAGCAAAGTCAAGACTATAAAAGTAGAATATCACAAAAAATTGATTGCATTATTGTATACACAAGGTTGAAGCCTGAAAAATTTAGTTGTGAGCACAGTATTGTTATAAAGAATGTTAATGGAACACTACATTTTCTAAAAATTTTTCCAGTATAAAAAATGTTAAATTTTTCATTTCTTCTACAAACCCAAAGCTTCCAAACCACCCTTCTTGCAAAGGAAACTGGACAGATTTTAGCTTTAAAAGGATCATAATATCACACAAGTGAGAGGAGCTAAGACTTTAAAATTTTATAAGCGGGCATAGAGTCTACAAGGCACGACTTGGAATTAAGCCTCATGTTCTACTGATTAAGCCTCATGTTCTACTGAGCACATTGAGCACTAAAACTTGGAATTAAAATGTTAAATGAATATAGATTTTTCAGGACACTTTTGTTTGAAGAAAATCTCATAATGCATCAACATCCACCCTCACCAGGGAGGATAGACCAGAGTTTTAAATAAGAATGACTTCATTTTTATAAGTTATATGGTAGCACTCTTACTGTGGGAGACAGTTATTCTGGTGGCTCCTACTGAACGCTGCCTCTTACTATTTGTTTTCTCGTAGGGCTCCTCCTTAGGCTGGCCCAATGACCTCTTTTAGCCACAATTGAGAAGAAAGCAGGTCAGCTCTCAGCCCTTCTCCTGCTCCTTCCTGCCAGGAAGACCTGGCAGCTTTTGTTTCTGCACTGTAGAGTAAGCCATTCACCGCTCAGAAGTTGAACAGTGGGACTGCCATTCTTAGAAGTCTAACCAAGCTATACGGCATCGTCTTGTGGATAACAAGTCAAGTCTGAGGAAATAGCTTCAGCTGAGATCCCAGCTGGCAGCCAGCACCAACTTGCCATTAGCACTACGTTAGAAGTGGGTCCACCAGCTGAGTACCTCAAAGTTGACCCCGTGTGGTGCTACTGAGCTGTCTCCACAGAGTGATGGAGACCACTATGAAGTGGCTCTGAGCAGGGATTTAAAATTAATCAGTCGGCTTTTTCTATGTTTTCTTGTGAGTCTGTCGCAGGCCTGGGCTCTTTGTCTGGAGATGGGCAGAAGATTCAAGGTAAGTAAACAGCTTTGAATCCCTAGTCCAGCTGAGGCCTTTCATAGCCTGGGATGCTGTGATGATGCCTCAAAGTATGGGATAAAGCCACACCTGAGGATGCTTGGCTTCAACCTCGATTAACTAGATAGACACTGTAGCATCAGGCTCCACACTCCTGCAGTGAATGTCAACGTGCAGGTAAGACAGTTCTCCTAACTAGCATGATTTACTACTTGGGGAAATCTTTGAACTGGCTCCCAAGATGCTGCTCAGCTCCAGAGTTTTCCTCAGTATCCCCTTCCTTTGTAACTAAATAAATGTGGGCTGCCCAGAGAAGTTCTTTATCTCATCCCCCAGAGAATCTCAGGTTCTGCTAGAGGGTTTTGCCCCTCCTGCAGCCATAAAAACGAATCTCTTCACTCTTTATTTAAATCTCCCATGCACTCCGGTCTGATTAGTCTATGATAAGAGCGGTATTCTAGATTGTAAAATTATGAGCAAATAAATGAAATACTTACTCTTTTAAAAACAACTTTTGCATTAATTTTATACAATTCAGTATCTCTCTACATCATTTTTTGGAGTATCCATTCATTTAATAAAATAAGGATAATTTTATCATATTATAATCTTTCTCTTCCCCTGACTTTGTATAGAAAGAAGCATTTATTCTTCAATAAATATTTGCCAAATACCTCTGTTGAGTACTTCTAGCCTCAAATACCAAAGATGAGGAGATTGAGAAGCACTGTTAGGTTAAGAGAAAGGACAGAAAAACCCATTCACATCTGTTCAGTGTAGCCCAGCACTGTGTGTGAAGTTCAATGACAGTACCAAGAAGGTATAATTCATTCTGCCTGTGGTTGGAAAGGTTGCAGAATCTTCAGGAATTGTCTCTTAAAGACACTCCTTCATCCCCATTCTGGGAGTAGAACCGAGGGACTTATATATATGCAGAGCAAGCAGGTGCCCACTGAGCTACATCTGGAGCCCTAGGAACATTGTTTATTCTAAGTCTAAAGGGATGAAAAGAATTCTTACAGGTAGGGAAAGATGGAAAAGAGTCATTCCATTCTGAAGGAACAGTGCTAGCAAAGTTTTGACAGTAAGAAAGAATATGGTGGTTGGAGGAAATTAAAAGTCTTATGTGTACCTAGTTCAAGGTACAGGAATGAAAATTATGTAGATCCCTAAGCTAGTACCATGCTAATGAGTTGGGCTTGAGGCCAGAGTGAACCCAGTGTTTTTTTTTAAAAATGGACTCAAATAGGGTAGTTTACATACTACCCTTTGTACACGTCTTAGGTTCAACAGCTTTTCATATACATAAATGTGCATGTGTTCACATTTCACATCATGAAGCCCAGGCCACTCAAGACAAAATTTGATGAGTGTCATAAATACAGTCCTCAAATACTAAGGAAAGTACTAGCATATCATATGGGCCATTTATACAAGGGAACTACCCCAAGACTGAATAGTCAGGAAGTCAGGGTTGACTTAACATTCAAAGATAAGAATGCGAACCACCAGTTAGTAAAAAAAGAAAGCCATATGATCATCCTAATAGACACCAATAAACAATTGATGACATTCAACACCCAATGTGATAATCATGCTTCCTTGAGCATTTAAAGTGCAGGAAGGCAAGTCAGGTCTGTGCTGTTTTGAGTGAAAGGCTCTTTTAAAACAGTCATGGTCCTTGCTGTCATATAGGAACTTATAGTATGGTATTCTCTGGGGAAAGTTTCCAGGGACATGAGAGAAAGCAAAAATCCACAGATGTCTAACTCTACCATTTGATTGCCAAACGTTGATTGCCAAGTGAGCAATAGATGTACTCCAAATCACTTTAAAAGCTATGCAGACAAGCAAAGACTTAGACATCGAGTGCATTAAAAATGTGATTGCTCTACACATCACAGGCAGTAGTGCTAATGGATATTGCTTACATGTCTCTCAGACCGGCTGTTACACGCTGAAACAAAGAGAAAGCAAGAAAAAAAAGGATGGAAGGGCTCAGGTCTATAATGATGGCTCACAGCAATTAAGATAACAAGTAGATGTCAGGAAACCTGAGTGCCAGTGTTGTCTCTGCCAATTTCCAGTTGTGTGTGCTTTGGAAAAGCAGTTCACCTCTCTGCGCCAATTTCAGTAATTACAAACTAAGTGAATTAAACTAGATGAGTTTGGGAATGAATCAGCATGAAGACTGAATCCTACCTTTGTCACTATTTGTCCTGTGCCTCAATTTTCACATCTGTCTAATGGAAAGAAACTTCAAAGAATTTCTTTGATGATTAACTTAGATTTATAAGTAAAACAACATATGCACTGCACATATTGAACATTCATTATAAGTAGATGTATTAATGTTTTAAGAATTAGTTATTAGGCTCTAAAATGCCAAAATTATAGTAGACTAAATACCAATTAGTTCTAACATGAAGGTGTGCGAAGCTTTGAAATTTTGCGTATCCTGCCTATCATCACAGGTGGTACTGTAAGGCGCTTGATAATTTTAGCAGGAAGGGAAACAGAAGGTAGACATTCCTGTGTGATTTAATCTTGGTAATACACCAATGATTTCATTACCATGTGCAAAAAGCTATGATGGCATTTCTTATACTCTGATAAGTACTAAGTGAAAAATCTAATTAAACAATGCTTCCCTAGACTTGCCATAGAATGCAGTGAATGTGCCAACCAGACTCCTTGTTGATTATGCTGGTAAATTTAATCAAATATTATGTTCATGTAAGTAATACAACAGATCTGACGTCTGTAGTCAGACATGTGGTTTTTGCTAGTTGTAAATAAGCTACTCACACGAACAAAATACCCTCTTAGAGAACCTGCATAACAGTCTGCATGCATCATAACATGTTGTAAAATAAGTGACTGTTTTGTCCCCACCCAAAAATCGTATTTATAGTACCCACCAAATATTTGGTTGGACTGAATGTTTATACTGGAAGGGTTTAAATTATATTCCTTTTGTATCCTACTTACAGTATCTGATGTTCTCTTATGTATGGACAAGCATAGTCTTAAATCATAAAGAACTTATAATTATAATTGGATTGCATTTTCTGTGGACACACTGGCAGCTTGGGCACTCCCTTTGGAGGCCAGTAAGTGTGTTATCTTTTGGCTGTCACTCCACTGCTTACCCCTGTTGATATCCTTGAGTGGGTTATCACTTGAGGAAGATGTTCCATCACATCCTGACCAGCAGGATTGTTGTGCTGTACAAAATCTTCTCCTCTTATCTCTTAACTTTTTATAACTATATTTTTTGAAACAAGGCCTTGCTGCATAGTTCAGGCTGGCCTTGAACTCACTATGTAGCCCCAGCTGGCCTTGAACTCATGACAGTCCTTCTGCCTTGGCCTCCCCAGTGCTTGGATAATAGGCATGCGCCATCATGCTCGTCCATTTGTAACTTTTTATGGACTTGGGTTTGGGAGGTGGATAACAGCATCACCAACACTGTCCCAAGCTTTACTCAAGCAAACTCTTCAACCAAAGAGAGTGTGAGGTCATTCTCAAAGGGCCCTGTCTTACTGTGTGACTCCAGTTGGTCTTTTGAAGTTCATGGGACATGGTGCTCTGCACATATGCACGGCACATATTGATCATTCTTTCAGTATGAATTGCCATACAAATCACACTCAGAACAGGGAGCCCACAGCATCATCAAAAGAAAACCTTGCATTTAATCAAAACCTTGCATTCAGTAAACACAGTAGATATATGGTACGAATGCAATATAAATCCCTCTCATGAATACAATTAAGTCTGTCTCATGAATATTTCCAAAATGAGACAGCCGGATAGAAATGATGTCCAATAGGATTTTTAAATAGAACATTTAGAGGAGGAAAGTCTGCTCTAAACTAACAGTGGTATTAGAAAGAAGTGTCTTCCTGGGTAGGCAGTGTGGTTCAGGAGCTGAACACCCTTGGACCTGGCTCCTCTGGTTACTGTGTACCTGTGGATACACTGTGCAGCCCTGCTCCTCTAAAAGAGGAGGGGGTAACTGTACCTGTACACTAGGGCCTGGCCTGGCACACACACAACAGCAGCGCTGCTGGAAATATTTTGCAACACCATATAAGTAGCCTGCTATTTATAATCAAATGCATATGACAATGTAGGATGTACAGCCTCACTAGAATGCCACTTAGATCTGGATTCAGAGTAAGAAAGCTTGCCTGGGAACTAGTTTAGCAATTTTCTGACTACGTGACCTTGGGAAAATCCATCAAGCTGTCCAGTTCTGAGAGGTGAATTTAATCACACCCATCCAGGATTGTTATGAAGTTCAAATGCATTGCTGTACATCAGAAAGTGCTTTTACAATCTATAAATTTTATGCAAGTTAGATTATTATTCTATTAATATATTCTGGCATTTTTATTAACTATAGTGAGCATTTATAATGTTTTAAAAATATTTTTGCACCTAAAATTCAATTGTAGGACTTTGTGAATAGAAATTATCAAAATGAACCACAAGTTAGGAAAGATCTGCAGATTGAAAAGCTTATATGCAATGAGCAATCTACAGTTCTTTGTTGGAACCAGAATTAAACTCACTTGGCTACTGTGACCTCCAAAATAACCATTCTCAACCATTCTCAAAAAGAGGCCTTATCCTAGGATAGTTATATCAAAATATGCACAATGATTATATTAATTGTTTTAAATAAGTGTATAGAAATGGTAGAGGCAAGAGGAACAGAGATTTAACATTAACCACTTAGAAGCTCATCTCAAACTGCAAATGCAAATTTATATTGGGGGTATTTATAGAGTCCAGATTGGCTTGGATACCTAAAGTATGCAAATTGTACTTTTTTTGCCTTTTAAGAAAAATTTCCACCCCTTAAGAAGCAGAAGAAAATTACACAGCATTTTTCCATACAAAATAAATGTAAATGTCTAGATCTTTTTTAGTCATAATTTTCTATTTTCATCTAAAGAAGCTCTTCATTTGAGAAGTATTTAAAGGCTTCTGTTTTTTTTTTTTTTTGTAAAAACCTTAAAATGAAGCATCATAACCCTGGGAATAACAGCTGACTAGGTCAATCCAAGGCAAGCAAAAACAGTCTTTCAAAATGTGATGGCTCCTGGTAGAGGTGTTGCAACTGTGTCCCTTTCTTGAATCATTTCTGGTTTCATAAGCATCATCTGTATTTTTTTTCTTTTATGTACCAGGGATCGAACTCACAACTTTGTACTTGCCAAGCAGGCGCTTAGGTCACTGAGCTAAATACCCAGCTCTGCATCATCTATATGTTGACAACACTGTAGTTCTACAACTTCAACTCTTCAAAGCCACGGCACTTAAAACATTTACCAGTTTTAATGTTTCAAGCAAATGTGTCACTCCTAATTTAAAATGAGACCACTGTAAGTAATCACTAGTCATGTTGTTTGGGTTTGATGTCCATTTCTTAACATCTCAGTAAAGTTTTGATTTTAATATAGACCACAGCTACAGATGTGTTGGTAAAGTTTTCCCAAGAAGTATTGCGAATATATATATAATTTCCAGTCAGAACAAACTGAATAAACAAATGATCACACAGACAAATCACACCACTCGATTGGACAAAAAGTTATCACAGGAATGTTTGCAAAGCCACTCCTTGCTGTAGGGATAAACAGTTTTCCTTGTCCTCTGCTCCATACAGCAACCCAAGTAGCTCAGTGAATATCGACTGAGTTATAATTCGGACATAATCTTTCTCTTCGCATATTTCAGGTTTGCATACTGCTCCCAATTTTATAATATTAAAGTGAATAAAGAAGTTTAATCAGCAAATAATACAAATACAATAAAAGAGATCCTGAAAGATAAATTCACAGGTATTACAGGATGCTTTTAGGACAACCTTGCAAAAAAGGCTGTTTTGAAAGTTGCATCCTTTGCATAAAAATGACTCTGAGCAGAATGAAATATTTAAACAGCAACATTAACTAAAAGAGAAAACCTCAGCGTTCCAAAAGCGCAAACTCAGGATCTTCCTTTGTCTCTCAGGAAACTTCCTGTACTCCTTATCACCTTCCAAATATGAAGTCACATGTTCCATAGGAACAGGAAAAAGATTGCAGACCTGTGTTCCTCCAAAACAAAAGTTCTCTTTAGTTTATATTTTTATCAGACTTCCCAAGTTTGGAATTACTGTCATCTCTCCCTATGTCCAGTAATTTAACTGATTTCTAAATTATAAGTTCCCTGAAGTAGTTTCTTTGTCCCATACATTACCGTAGTATCAAACATAATGGCTTTTACACATTAGGAAACTCTCAAGTGAATAAATGGTACTTGGTAGTACATATAAATTGTTTCCGTTTCCAACTCAGGAAAAAACATTGCTTTCCTTGACTTTATACATATTGCCACCTTTTCCTACACCATTCTTTAGCCTCAAATACATAAAAAATACATAAAAATACATTAAAAAGGCCAACTAGGCTACATGAATATTGTGTGTATTGTATATATATATATATACACACACACAAATAAAGAAGTATACACTGTGTACAATTTTTTCCAGTCTTCCTAAAATAAACTTCACATCATGTTGTTTTCTAATATTTTGTGGTTTTTAAAGTTAGGTACTCAGAAATAAATATGTCACTGTCAACTTGCTAGTAAAAGAATTGTGTGCACAGGGTCTGAAGAAAGGGTTGAGCTGGAAAGCAGACTCCTTACAAATCCTCTCCTGTGTTTTGGGCGACTGCTGCCCTCTAGGGGACACCTAGAAAATAATCTCAGCCTCTCAGCCTTTAGCAATTTCTGAAGACTTTGGGTAGGTGTCTCACCCATTCAACATTTATTAAAGAAGACAAAAAGTAATTAAAGTAACTTCATGGGCAGCTGTATAGTACTAAAAATTCTTTAACTTTTGTGCCTTTCATTGGGTTCTCTGTGAAAGCCCTCTCCCAGACAACATGTTTTTTTTATTTTGTCCTTCCTACTGCAGCGTTTGAAGCATGTTGTTTCTTGTTCTGTTAGGAAACAGCTGCTTATTATGACTAATGTGTTAGTCACTGTTTGTATTTTCCACTTTTAGCCTCCAGTGCCCAAGAAACCAGAAACCCCAGAGTCTTCCGTCTTACGAAGTCAGTTTGTACAGAGGAAAACATGCAAACATTTCCAGAGTTGTCAAATTTTTACTTATTTCTGGGCCAAGAAGCTTCACTAATTTCAAATGCAGACAAAGGATAAACTTGTAATTTTTACACGGTGGGTAGTCAATTTCAATCTTTATAAAATAACTTGTAAAAATTAGGGCTCATATCTAGAGCAACCCTGTTTAATGCACAGAAATTAACCCGCTTATTCATTTCTAAAATCTTCAAGGAGAATTTAAGTGACTAATACTAACATGAAGTTTCGGGAGGTCAACATTTTACCTCTGGGAGAAGATTCCATGATTTCGGGGTAGGAAAGAAAGTGACTTTAGAAGATGTCTCTTTGTTCACAGGCTTAATGTCCGTTGAGTATGTCATTACTCTGCAGACACCCAGACTACCATTAGGGGTCACAGGCCACAAAAAACCTACTCATTTCTCATACACACTCATACTACAGATATTTCTGACTTCCAACGGTCTATTTAGGATGCTTTGATCTTTTGCTATTATGATGGTAACAAATGGTATGCACCCAAAAGAATCTCTACTTTGAAATTTGACCATTTCCTGGGCTACCAGTATGCAGTCTGATTCTGTCTTGTGACACTGGGCAGCAGCAGTGCTTCCTGGTCAGCCACGTGGTCACCAAGGTTAACAACCACACTCCACGCAGTGTGTGGGGTTGCAAGACTGTAATACTTGCTAGGTTAGATGCATAGTAAATAATTTTTGAGCCCAGTGTGGTGGCACACTCTTGATATTTCACCACTTGGGAGGCTAAGGCAGGAGGACTGCTGTGAGTTGAAGGCCAACCTGGGTTAATAATGTCAAAAAGCCCTGTGTCAAAAAAACTAAAGGAAAAAAAAAAAGCATTTTTGACTTATGACAGTTTCACTTATTATGGATTTATGGGGATGTGACCCTAGTATAAATCAAAGAGCATCTGTATGAGAGCACCACATTTTGCCATGTATATTTGATTGTCCAGTAATCATAGAAATTAAATTTTTGTATATTATTTATTATACTTCAGATTTTTTGAGAAAAGGGAATTTACTTTGCTCATATTGCATCACCAATACATGGAATATTTTACTTTTCTCAACCTATTATGGTTCTTTAGATGGGTGTTATTACCTTCAGTTTATAGATGAGGGAAATGATTCAGCATTCTATAAACTCATGTGTAGTATATTTAAACCCGAGTGTGTCTGTATTGTTGACATTATGTTTCCGCCCTGTTTATGTGTCTATCATGGTACCCGGCATACAGCAGATGGCCAATAAGTATTTGCAAAAGAATCAACAGGTGTGCCTTACCTGAGAGTTTGCTTTTTGCTTTTGTTTTGGTATCATGAATACCTCAATCTCAAGCACAAAATTGGTCTACAATAATCACTAAGTGAATCACTGGAAAGTCTTGAGGATTTATGCATTACTTTAGTTCTCATGGTGTATCTATAGTGGTGGGATCAAGTTTTAAGACAATGAAACAAGCGTTTTATGATGCTGTCTTCATCAGCTTGGAATTCATTTTCAGCTAACCTCAGGACATCAGATAGATCACTGACTTGTGTTGATGGCAATTTTATTGTCAGAAAATTTGAGAAAATGAAAAAGGGCAAGATAAATCAATTCCAGACTTCTAAGGGGAACTGGTTGGCCAGGAAGAAGCAAAACGAATCTTCCAACATTATAAACATACAATTTAAAAGCTATGGTGGGGATAGGTCTGAAAAAATCATGGAAATATGGCAAATTTCTGAGAACAGATTTTTAAAAGTTCAGAGAACAGATTAAAAGGATTCGGCAGCATGAGAATTTGAAAGAGAAATCTCTGGAAAAGATAGAAGGGTTTGCAAAGGTTCTAAACATACTAAAAGCTCAGTATTAGTTTTCTCTGTTGGGAGGATTGTGAATTTTTAAAAAAAACTTTATTAAAGCTGTCTGCAAAGCGATTTTTAGAAGATCAAAGCACTTCTGATTATAACTTCAACACTGAAACCAAGGCTACTTTAAAATAAACAAGCTCTACCATGTAGTGGCACATAATTTTGAAGCAAAAGAAAGTTGGAAACTATAATTAAAAAATCGCTGTTGTGGTTATGTGACCTTCTTCCCAATTCCTGGGAAATAACTCATTTTTGCTTTATTCACTGAGCACATGTTTATTAAAAAAACTGTTATATGGGGGCATTGTTCCCGGCCGTAGGAACAAAAGTATGAACAAAACAGAATCTTTGTTCTTAGAGGGCTTATATTTCAGTAGTATGTAAATAAAGTATGTAGTAAGTAAATAAAGTATGCTTCTAATTCCAGGGAATAATGATGCTTTAAGAAAAATAAACAGGGTAGTGGACAAAGGAATGACCCAGTTTAGTTGTTTCAGACAACAAGTCAGGGAAATCCTCTTGCAGTACCCTGAATCTTGGTGGAGACTTGAAGGATACGAATTGGCCTTGTGAAAATCCAGGTGAATAGTAATGATACAAGCAAGGGAATATGAAATTTAAAAATGCCTGTATAACTGCAGAACAATTAGAAAAAATGCATCTCAGGATGAGAGTAAATGTGTGTTTTTCTTGCGTAACTGAGGAACACTATAGTCCCTGCAACAGAAATAACGGGAACACGGGTGGCTGCGAAAGAGAACAGAACCATAAGATTGTCAGTTTCTTTACGAGGGAGGGAACGCTGTTTGGGATGGGAAGGACAGACTGCAGCCGCTGGGAGGGAGGAGAGGATGAGTAAGGAGAGTGAAAGAAGGCCTCACATTATGAATGCCTGCAAGGACGGGCGGGAGTCTTGTCCCTTGGTATCCATGTTTCATTTCTGCCTCAGAAACGATAGAAACCCAGGGGCAAGGAAACAAGGCTGGTATTTCTATAGTTGTTTTGATTAATCTCAATTAATTACTGTGATTTTATTAAATGTGACAGGTGGTTACTAGCCTTTCTATGTGTCTTCAGAAGTTGTCTCCGCTGAAGTTCTGCTGTCTTCTGGCACAAATTTCCTTAAGGAGGCTCACGGAGGGAGAAGTACAGGTCATGCTATGCCAGTGGAAAAGGGTTGGGTGAAAGGGTCAAATAATTTGGCTCTGCAAAAAGAAAGGGAAGGAAGGGACTCCAGCCATTTGGAAACAGGGGTGAGGCTTCAAGGACTGAATGGAATCCTCTCTCCCACCCTACTTCTCTCAACCCATCCCTGATCTGCCTTCCTCTTATTTTGTCAATACTCTTTTTTTTTCTCTCTCTCTTTCCTTTCCAACAACCAATTCAAATATCACTCTGTTTGAGCCTCCACAGGAAAAGTGTTGCACAGAGTTTTTCCAGAGAGATGGAAATCATCTTTCTAGAAACTCACAGAAAGTCACTTAAAACCACAGGAAGGTAATCTGGAAGGGTGCTAAGTGGGTATTGTACAGTCACATCTAAGAATATTCCTTTGTTCTGTTTTTGATTGTAATATAAGTAATGAAATAAGGCACAAATAATTCCTATTTCAAAGTTTTAAAATAGAACTATAGCCATCCAATTCCAAGTTTTGAGTGTTTTGATTCTTGAAAATAGCAGGATGCCTCTTCTGTTTCAGACACAGTGATAGGGACAATGAATAAGCTGAGGCTCCTTCTGTATTTGAGGAGGGGCATGATTATGGATCTGATTTCAAAAGAGGGAGGGAAGCAGTTTCTCAAAACCTACACAGCAGTGAGCAAATTTAATGAGATACATTTCATAGAAATAAATGTGAAATTTTACTGTGGAGGTTCAAATCATAAAGGAAAAAGACCCAACCACATAGAGATACAGTGGGGTATATGGATTAGATACAGTGGGGACTTGGATTACATACTTAGGCGTTTGGAGATTTCAGGCACTTCTCTGATATAAATGGCACAAAAGCAAATTCTGTGTTAAAGAAAGATCGTGTTATAATGAAGCTATTGCTAAATGTGTTTTATCTTTCGTTGGTCAAACATTAAAAAATCATAGTATGCTCAGAAGAAAATTACTAGGGTATTAAAGGAAACACCCAGAGGGAATTAAAAACTGTTAGAAAGAAATGAGATTATCATGGCATTGTAGGGGAAGTCAGCATTTGATTAGTCCCAAGCATACATGTAGGATACAAGTGGAATTTACAGAAAGCCACATATGTCTAAATTTAACAACTTCCTTTCAACTAGATTAGCCTGAATTTTGGAGGCCAGCAGATTCCTACCATTTATGATGTTTCAGCATTGCTGTAGATGTCAGCAAATGTGTGGGACCATCATTCATGATCTCTGAGGGCCCCGCCAACCTTAAGGGTCTTTTCTAGAGTTGTAGACTACCCATTTATTGCACGGCGGTACCGGGTTAGTTTTTGGGATAACTTTTATGCTCTGCTTTTAGAAGTTGGGGAAACAGAATGAATAAAACAGGGTTTATAATCCCTCTTACGCCCAAAGGTAAACACCTGGGGAGGGTCAGGAATTTACGCATCTCAACTCATCTCAGTTTTGATGTCAGAAAGAAAATCTTGACAAACTGGGGCATCTGCTTGATTGATATATACAAGTGTAGCTGTGTAAAATCATCAACTGGAAACTGTTTCCAGTGTAGTCTCCAATCATACTTGCCTGAGGAATCATCCAGTGTTAATCTGTTACTTAAAAGAATGTCATTAATGATCAATGATGGTTTGGCTGCAGTAGTTCATATCAGTTTTTTCTCTAAGTGCTATAATAAGCACACACATGTTATTGATAGTGACAATTCTATTCCAATTACAATTATTACATAAAAATGATTTCTAGTTTTGAATACAGTGGGGCTTACATTACGTTTGTTGTAGTCATTGCTTATATTTAACAAAACCAAATGCTGCTGTTTTTTAGGTATATAAATTCACTATTCAAGTCAAAAGTCATATATTTACTTAAGAGAGGAATATTAATGTTCTTATGTATTTTCACCTTTCTATACCTTATATCAAATATTTGTAGATCTATGCATTGAATATTAATTCCATATTTCATGGCCCTTATTAATTGTGTTAAAGTCAACACGCACATTTATTTACCTAGATAGCTAACACACTTTTGATAAAAAATAATTCATTATGAACTTCAGAATCATTATTTCACCCCAGAGAAATTCTTTTTGCGTTTACAGTACATACAATGGAAAAGTTACCAAACAACATAAGAGTTAAATATTTTCTAACAATACTGAGCTCAGAAAAGAGCTTACAGAGCATCTTTTTCTGCTTGCTTTACATTTATATTTGTGTCACAATACAAATAGGGCTTTTACAGTCCAAGATTAATGCTATGGTTTTCTATGCTCATTCTATATCATCCAAACTGCAGTTGGACCAAATAACAACAAAAAAATAATCAGCCAAATGCTGAACAACTCATTGCAAAAACATTCACAGAGAGTCGAAGTCACTATAGTGGAGAGACCCAGAATATATGCATAACTCACCATTTTTATTTTAGTAAAATTTCAGAGAACCGTAGTGATAATTCTGTAACAATAAAACATGTAAAGCTTTGCCAGGACTAGCTCAGGATGGTAGTTTTTAGGAACACTTTTATCACATTCTCATTATAGTAATGCTATAAACAACAACAATAATAATATTGGCACCTGAATCTATAGTCAAGGAAGTCTTCAATCTGACATGAGACTTCTATTATGTATTTTATTTTCATATAGAAATTATTTCTAAATTTCAGTGAGTACAAAAATAGCTGATTAAAAGTAATGCAAACTAATAACCTGATTGTTTTGCTTCTAAATATCATCATCAGCTTAGTGCACAAAACCAGTACTAGTGGATTACATGGCAAACTGGAAGATTGCTTAATCTAACTACTGCTAATCCTCCCCAGACAGGATTGTTGGATGCAGTTCACTCTATGGCAGCCCTCCTAGGCAAGGTAGCTAATCTGCAAGTAAAATACTCACTGATGTTAACAAAGCTCTTCTGTTTAAATAGAAACAATCACAATGTAGAAAAACCAAGTAGGGTTTTAAAAATAGAAGAATTCATGAATTCTTTAACCATCTCTATAGAAGTATTTCTAATGTGGAGCAAAGAAGCAAAAGTTAAAGAACGATTATGCTTATTATATAATATCTCTACTAATTTCTCTTCCATGATTGTCTTTGGATTTAATGATTTGAAATGGACTGCCTTGTATGTAAGTGTAAGCAATTGTTAAGAAAATTACTTCCAAGAAACAAGCAGAATATTTCTGCATTAAAAGGATTTTATTTGCTAAATATTTGTATTCTAGGGCAGATTAGATTTTAGCATGTGGTGGAAATGAGATGCTAGAAGCCAAGATTATCACAAAATCGTAGAGCTGTGGGATCATCAAGGGGTCATTTAGTTTATCTCTCTGCCCCCATCTCATCCAAGGGAGAAAACAGCTCACTGTTATCTCTAAAAGTTTTGGCATTAACTACTACATTGAGCCTTCTCAGAGAGCTCCCTCTTTTTGTTTTAGATTTTAGTGATATTTTACTTCTGAAAGAATTTAGGGGATTACATCATAAGAACATCAAGAGTTTAAATGCACAGGGCAACACTCGTGGGTAGTTTCTGTTTCATTTGTTGTTTGTGGGGATTGAACCCAGTCTCATTCATGCTAAGCAAGTGCTCTACCCTCACCTTTTAGTTTTACATTCAAAAGAGGTAAGACTGGACACAGACTCAGATGAAACATTAAAAGAATGAGAAAGAACAGAAAGAACTACCGAGTATAATACAACTTTCAGAAAAACAGGATATTTTGAGATGGACTTCAGTTATTCATAGAAGAAATTTCTTCAAAGTGAGCAGGGATGTGGAACACGAAAGTGAATTCCTGAAAGTAAATTATAAAAAAAATGTACTGCGCTATATTGACTGATTTCTTGTATTTTTCCTTATAGGCATAGCTATAAATATAAGCACATGATAGTCGTTGAACTGGTTCCCAACTAAGTCTGGGTTCAGAACCAGGGGAAGAGGTTGAAAGTGTAAATGCCTAACATTTTAAAGCTGAGACAGCCTAATGCATGCTCTTTCCAGAGACACATCTGCTGCGGAGTCCAGAGAGTTCTGTGCTAGGGCAGGATCTTACCCTGTCACAGGCTGAAAAGACACTGCCCATATTTGACCTTATGAATCTCCGTTTTTGGCACTTCCACTATTATAATTACCCAACTTCTGTGGATAAGAGTATTCACTCTTAGGAGTTTTAAAATTACATATTCATTGAAAGCTGAATTTTTAAACTGAAATATTATTTATTAGCTTGCACAGAAATACTGGAGAATGACTATGTAAACACTGAATCCTGGGTTACCTGGAGGAAAAATTGAGATTCAGGAATATCCTTCATATGCCACTCGGAAAAAGGTCACGAATGCCTGCTTGTACGTAAAATCTTGCTTTTAAAGGGAATATAGTGTGTTCGCATAGCTGGATCATTATTTTTCAGTGTTTCCATTTAAGTATCTCTCTATGAACTGTTTCTTTTTGGCAAAAGCCAGCAAAATTATATACAAAGATGGCGATCAATGAAAGCAAAAGCATCATCATAATGGGTTCTGGAATTGTAAAATGGAGAACCTGGGAATCAAGCCCAGTTCAACATTTACAATAATGGGATCCTCGCTTGTATCTCATGTTTATGAGAGGATGCAGAAAATAAGGAAGTGGAAGGGAATATTACCTGGGTTCCAGCCCATCTACTTCATGGCTGCCCCAGAAAGTTATATAAATTCATAGGTTTCCTCTTAGGCTAGGTAAGCGCTCAGAGTTCTCAGGAGGAAATGATATATTCAGTTTAGAAGCTGTGGTATGGGTTAAATAAAAGCAAATGGGAATATAAATGCTGTTAAAAGACTTTGGATTGGGAAAAGCCAGAATGTACTAGATACTGGGAGTGTGGTACACAAGGAAAGTTGTAGCAGCGTTTATTTCTTTTTTTAAAATTATATAGCAGCATTTCATTTGACTTTTTTGCTAGTAGAAAATACTTTTCAAGGAGATGAAATTTCTATACTTCATATATTTAATTTATACTTGAGATATTTCTTTTGTTTATGTGTATATATTTCTATTTTTATAACTGTACAATAGGCAAAGCATTACATGTATAATGTAACATACACACACATACACACATAATAGCAATAATAGTCTTCATTATATGGAGATAATCCAGAGATCCCATTCAAAGGTCAAATATATTTAACACTGAGTTAGGCAATTGCATGCTAAAGTATTGATTCTTCTTGTTTATTTTATAACGGTTCACTAAGCAACAAGCCTGAGGAGAATATTTCAGTGACAGTTCTCTGTAGTAATGCTTTTTATTTCACAAATTCATTTTTAAAAATTTCTATTCTCTGATGAACTAAATGCTATCCAATACATCTGACAGCAAAATCATGCAAATTTAAAAATTCTGCATTGCTTCATAAGAAGTTATCTTCTTGATAAATTTAATGAAATGTATTTTCTTTTTCAGCATATACAAAATTTTTAATAACTAAAAAGTTTATTAACTATTTCAGAACATTGGATGCATAAGTACTTCCTTATTATAAAGATGAATTTTTAACATGAAAGAGAATTTATAGATTCTGGAAGAGTCTAAGTACCCCACATACAATGTGTTTTAAATCATCTGCTTTTGACAACTAACATACTAGTATACTGTTTAAACTTCAGGAAAAAATTCTGCCTGTGAAGTTAAGATGGGGACAGTATTCAATGACTATAATAGTCTCAGTTTTATTGGCTAAATTTAGGAGTCGTGAGGTCTGTAAATGCAAGAATATTGTATATTATAAATGGCCGTGAAAATAAAGCACATTTTAAATTAATTTAAACAAAATTACCAGCATAAAATGTCTGAACTTGTTGGTGCTTTGCTCCCCTAAACTGTGGGCTTTAAGTTGTAAGAGGAGATGGGGAGGGTGTCGCTGAGTTAGTACTTAGGGAGGCTTTGGGGAGAAAATTGGACTGTAAGTGCCACACATACTGAGCGAGGTGAATCTATGGGTAGCTTAGAATAACACCATATGAGGAAGTGCAGATGACAGTCGCGAGGGATGGTTACCCTTTTAGGAAACCCCGGTCTGCCACTTAATATGGTAACTTGTACTTTGCTATACAATACCTATTTCACTGATGCAAAAATTGATAAAAAATACCTGAAGGAAGAAATGGAGGTAGAAAAAGAAGCAAGCAAGCAAGCCGCGAAGCCCAGGAACTGCAAGTCATCCCGCAGGCAGACACAAATGATCACAGTTGTCTACCCTACCTCTTTCACCAAATGCAATTATGAACCATTTGGGTTTTATTTTATCATTAATATTTTAAACTCTGAAAATTTCAATGCATCTTTTCTGTGCCACTGCCCACGTGCCACGTGGCTGTTTTAGAGAAGAACCATTTCTCACTCGCATGAATCAGAAGGGAGAGAGTGGGGATGGCTGATTTAAATACCTTAACTCAGGATTTACTATGGATTTAAAATCTCTGACTTAATGTTGCATTAAGTACTGGTGGCTGCTTTACTGTCTTTAAAACATGCATATATAATTGGATACTGTAATGCTTTGCGGGTAAAATAAATACTGACTCACACTAAAATAAATACTCTGCAAGATGAAGTTCATGTAGACATAAATTAATCATTTACTAGTTAACCAATATGCACAGGAAAGAAATAGATCACTTATTAAAGGTAGCCTCATCTATAAAATGGAAAAAATAAAACGCTGATGTATTTTACAGTTGTGCTGTGAGGGAAAATGTATAAAATTATTGCTAAGCAGTTTATAAACCATAAAATGCAATATGAACATTAAATTAATAATATTTGTACTAATGCAGATTCAACACCCTTTGCATTAAATATATCTTTTGGCGTATTGAAGCATACACAAAACCAAGCTGAGGCTTTTTATTTAATTTTTAATGTTGCCTTCAGAATTCTTCAAAGCATCATGAAGTTATTGGTTATGTTAAAAACTTCTCACTGGCTGTCTGCCACCATTTCTAAGATAAAGTTCTTGGCTGTTCCTATTCCCAATTCTATTTTAAAAGCCTTCTTCTAAGGAGCTTTATGCCTTTCACTTGTAGAGACACAGCAGATTCAAAGGGAACACAGGCTTGCATTTTTTAAATTAGGGGAACATTAGTACCATGCTCTGGACTTCGCTTCCTTCTAAGCTACAGACTGGGATGGGGAAGTGGAGGAAGACTGGTTTGTGTGTGTTTGTGTGTGTGTGGTGGCGGGAGGGTGGCTGGTTTCTGCAAAGTGTATCAAACTGATCTGCTGTGCAAAGCTTGTGTGCTGGGACAGCGCTGGCCATGAATCAGTGAGGTCATCAGGCCATTGTGCTGCTCAAAATGTTTCCGGTGTTAGAGATAAATCAAGCTGCTGCTGCTGCTTCTTTTTCTTTCTCTATTCCCACCTAGGAACACCATTCAAGGGCACAAGGGAGAACTAAGCAGTACAGAACATAGTCCTCTCTTTATCTTCTACTTCTTATTTTTAAATAGAGACTTATTTTTTAGAAGACCTACTTGTATAAAACCTGTAATCCACTCAGCACATTTTTAACATTGTCAGTGTCCCTTTGACTATCAATGATAAAACACATCAAACGTTTCTCCACTCATTTCCTTTTATAGAGGCCATTAATATAGAAATGCCTCCTCTTCTTCCACTAAGAAATGATAAATGGCTGGCTAGAGAAGTCTGAAATATTGCCAAATCTCCCCTATGTATCATGTGTCACCAGTGATAATAAACAGTGACTAATCTTTGGTCATGAACTATATTTATGACTTTCTTGTCATAGGTATTTCTTGAGTCAGGCTTAAGGGCCTGATATTTACACTAGGAACATGTGTGCTAGGAAAAATACACTTAGGTTCAAAGAAAATGATTCCTCACATTTCCCTTCATTTCATGATGGAGCTTGACATTTCCACCTTTCTGCCTCTTTTTGCACGATTCACCCAGGAATGTTCCGATCTGGAATCTAATTTATCCCAATCCATTCACCATTTTGATGACAACAGTCTCCTTGGGCAACAGGAAAAACTGTGGGGAAGGGAATTTGGATGAAATGCAAGCTTATTGCAGTTAAAGTTTATCAGCGGTCAAAAGGAAGCACAGTCAGGAATCTTTCTCCTTCTCCTAATTCCTACTGGGGGAGGAGTAGGTCAAAGTTTCCCCTAAGAGAACTGTAAGAGAGGCAAAACAACAGAATGCCCAACCAATAGAAGGCAAATTAAAGCTTTGAGGGAAATGAAATAAAGTCAGTAGTGTGCAGGTGTGAATTAAAGACCTCAATTCAATTTAACTAATGTCTATCAAGTGAGTAACACGCACTCCCGTCCTCATGTAGCTCATATTCTAAGGGAGTGAGACAAACTAACTATGAGTAAATTGTGTCATTTATCTGAGAAGTTCACAAGAAGCATGAAGAGAAATAAATCAGGAAAGGAAGGATGTGTGGCAATGGGCAACTTTTTAAGAAAAATGATCAGTGAAGGTTTAACCACTGAGCATAGACAGTGTTTTTTTTTTTTTTTTTTTTTTTTTAAAGACAAGATCTTGCAGGTGGGACTCTATGAATTTGCAATCCTCCTGCTTTAGCCTAAGGAATGCTAGAATTACAGGCATGTGTACAATGCCCAGCTAGCAGGTGACATTTGAGCAAAGACTAGAAGACAGTGAGATAGCAAGTTCTGTGGATGTCTTGTCCTAGACATGATATAGCATGTGCAAAGGCTCAGAGGTAGGCAGCACCCTAAAGAATCCAGAGTGACTAGAGTGGAATGGAATGGGGCAGGGAAGAGACAGTAGAAAATGAGGTCAAAGATGTCATAGTTAGTTGACTGTGTGTAATGGGAAGCCATTGAAGGTTTTGAATCAAAGAGCAAAACAATCTGAATTATATTTTATTGAAAGTAAACATGGAAGCAAAGGTGGAAGCAATTAGGTAAATTAAAAATCCTGCTGTCCTCTGTAGAAGTTTGATAAATATATTTTGGCAATTGATGACACACATCAGTTTAAAACAAATGTAAAAACACTACAGTTGTCACTATGCAAAAGTAAAATCGGTTGGAAGATTAAATTCAGTAAACAAGCATTTATTTTGCCAGTATCAAATAGTAAACTTGAGTACATTTGAAGTTATAGACGTATGATTTAAAGAAACTTAAGATTTGAGAACTAGAAGCACCTATTGCTAAGGAATAGATGAGACATTTCTCTTCTCAACATAGTCTGGGTTGTAGAATTGAACAAGTGCTTGCTCTGATGTGGAGGTGATCCTTTCAGGTACTTTGCAGTTGTTTGCTTCTTGGGAATTGGACATGGAGAAAACTTGCTTTCTCTTATCTCTCCTGAGATGGTTAGGTTTGGGACACATCAGAGCTGAGAAAGCATCAAAATTCACAGGAGGAGTGCCCACTTGCCACCACTTCCCTCTCGGAAGTAGGTTACTTCTTTCACCTAGGGAAATCTCTACTGAATTATAATTAGGTGGCTAATTAAAAAAGGGATTATCAAGTATGTTAAAATATGCCAGAAAGAGGTGTACATCATTTATTCTTTAATTTTGGAACTCTACCTTTTCCATGGAAAAATTCTCATTGGGAAATTCTATATTCAATATGTAAGTTATCTTTTTAAGTCAATTTTTATTGAAGAGAGTCTGACACTTTTTTATACAGGTAATGGATGTTACTTGAGCTTCCTATGACAGTCAGCAGGACCAAAGCATCATAGTTCTGCTTTACAATAAGCACACACAATGGCATAACAACAACCCTGATAATGCGAAGTCCCCCAAAGAATTATTTTTGAGTCAATGTGACACTGATGACGAGAATAAAACCACTTCCATTTATTCACTGCTAATGCATGCTATGCTTTGTGTCTTAATTCTCCCCAAAGCTGTAAGATAATTTTATGTCCACTGAATAGAAAAAGCTTAGTTCAGAAGAGTTAGGTAAATTATTTAAGGCCACATGGGCTGAAGGTTAGCAAGCTGAAATGCAAACTCAGGTCTTTTATCCAGAAATTCTTCCATTAAGCAAGACTTTTTTAAAAAGATAGTTTAACATTAAGTCAAAACTTTTTTTTTAACTTGTTTTGAAATTGATAGTATTCAGGTATCATAGAACGTTAATTAGGATCCTGTATTAACCAGACCATCGTAGTTCCTAGCCATTTGTCCTAAAATCAGTTTATTTTAAAACACAATCATGCTCATCAGGAGATTCCTGCTATATTATAAACAGCAGAAGTTAAAAAAGTTGCACTCACCTGGTAAGATGAGTTACTTTTCATTTGTTTTTTTCCTATGTTCCTGTAATTTCTGAAAAGATACAGATTAGGTGATGGTCCATGAACTTTGGTATCATACTGTCTTTGTGTCTGCTAGTCTAGTTAAGCATTAAATGGGTCAGTCTACTCCAGAAGTCACCTACAAGCTGGGCACCAAAAGCAGATGACTTGGCTGATAGGCATGACCAACTATCCTGGGAGGGCTTGCTAAATTGCTTAGAAGGCGCTGTACTAATGACATTAAGGTGATTTGGTGTTTCTTCTCAAATATTTAACAATAAGAACATTATACTAATATTTTTTCTAGAGTCTACTGTGTATCAGATCTTGTGTTTGTTATATACATGAGTCAAAGTTTCTCAACCTTGATAGAGTGACCTTAGTGACTGATGACTCTGTCACAGGGCCCTTGCCCTGTACCTGTGAGGAAGCTAAGCAGCATCCCTGGGTTCCACTCCCTAGGTACCAGTGTGCATCTACCTTCCTTAATTGTGACAGCAAAAGCTACCTCTGATTATTACCAAGCATCACTCTAGAGGGCAAACTCACCTACCACCCTTACTTTGAGTACTTCTGTTTTACTTCCTCAACAATTTAGGAGGTTGGTATTATTCTGCTAATCTCACTATTGAGGAAACTGTGGCTTTATATTTACATGAGTGCCGAGGGTGTCACCAATGATGAGTCACAGTTCCAATGTATGTGGACTGCCTCACGCTAGAAGATTCCTAGACAGGGAATGAAATTCACGTGCTTCCCCCACCCACTCCTAATCCCTTTCACCCCTAGATTTCCCCATGAGGATGGAACAGTCGGAGCGAAGGGGGTGCACGTGGCACACTGCACAGGCCTTCTATTGTACCATCGTCTTTCATTCAACAGATTAATTCCATTTTAATTGGAATTCTGGAAACTAATGAAAAAAAATTACAAGCCTTCGATGGTCTATTCTCAGGGTTCTTGAATCTGTCTGATTTAATTCTAACCAATTAGCATGCCATTACGGAGGAATATTACACTGAGAATCAATATTAAGCTAAACACTAATATTTTATTCAGTATTAAAAATTTATACAAATGGTAATACAAGTGCTTTATCCCTACTTTCTCTAAATGAGAAGAAATGCTTCCTTAGGGTGATTTCAGCAACAAAGAAAATTATATCTTCTTAGGAGACTATTGGTATTATGCTTTACATACATCATTGCTTAAATGAATCAATAAGATTTAATTGAATGAAATTTGTTCAATTTTCTTTTAAGATGTAGTTTTTCAGGCTATCAAATGGTTGTTTATTTCCATGCCCAAGGTATATTCCTATGTTAAAATGATACACTAGGTTATTGTCCAACACTGCTAAAAAGAACAAAATAACTGCCTTATTTTTCCTGATTTTAGGATACCTTTTTTTCCTTCTTGTTTTCAACTGGAATACTCTACACTTTTTAAATTCAGATATAATCTTAGGCTTGAATTTAAACCTAAATGTATTCAGAGTCTGCTTTTTAGATCTTCTTTACAAGGAGCAATACACTTAAATATGCTATACTTATATTGATTTTAAACTACATAAAAATCTAAATGCCACCTACACATAGTTTAGTTAGGCATGATTTCAAATCATCTTTCTGAAATTGTGCCCCTAAATCCCCTCCTCCATGCTCAGACTTACTATTCTCTTTGTTTTGATTTATTTATTTACTTATTTGGGACCAGGGATCAAACTCATGACCTCTCGCTTGCCAGGCAGGCACTGATGCTGCTGAGCTATATCCCCAGCCCCCAAACTTAGTGTTTTTATATTCCTGGGCCACCATACAGATGCTATAGTACTTCCATTTTCTTCCTTTTTGTGTCTCTCTACTTCTTCTAACTTCCTATCTTCAGAATCTTGTCCAAGCTATGGTGGATTGTAAGATTTCCATACTTTGGATCCGACGAAGAATATTTACAATTTTTTTCTCATACATTGGAATTCCTAAGTTCTCAACTATTTAAAAATTCTCTGCATACTATACTCTTTAGAAAAACTCTTGCTTGTATGTATGCTGTTCCTCAGTATTGGTATTAGAAAAATTCTGCTCTATAATTTTGTAATCTCCCAATTGGGTAGACAAGATCAATCAGTAAAATGCATGTACTTTGAAAAGGTTGCTTGTAATTCTAAAGGCTTATTAGAAGTTAAAAAGTGACAGCAGAATCAAAGCAAAAAAAATCACTGAATATATTAAGCTAACTGAAACATTAGAATTGGAGGTATGTTCAGCATAGTAATCACTATTACAAATAGAAAATTTAAACTAAAAAATAACATTTAATGGGTTGACTTTTCTAAAATAGTGACAGGATTTCATTAAAAAATGTTTAATGCATATAGCTGTTCTGAAAGTTTATTTAAAATTGAAAGACTAATGCCTTAATGAGAGGTATTATTACATGGGCATATTTGAATCTGGCTTATGAAAAATAGGACTTGAGAATTTGAAATGTGTGCATAAAATGCAAATGGATTTAATTAACTGAAAACCCATAAGACAGAACTTCTTCAAATAAGCAATTACTTGGGGGACTAATAGTGTAAATAGGATCCTGATTCATTAGCACAAATACCCATATGAGAAAAGGATCAGCAAATTTTATTCTTTTAAGTTATTTATGCATATATGGCAGTACTGCATTAATTTGGAGCTTCAATAAAATTTAAAATCTCTTGATAGTTCATGAGCTAGTCTGATGTTTACTTTTGCTTTGCAAATAGTTTATTTATAGGTAGATAATATATGATGTATTAAATATTTATTTCTAGTCTTATGTACACTTTTTAGACATAGAATAAACAATTTCCAAGGAACCTCAGGCACTTTACAAGCTTTTACATACAACCAATCTATATGCTAATAACAAAATGTTCATATGATTTATTATAACAGGTCTCCTTAAGTACTTCTACTTTGTAATGTTTTGTTGAAGTTACTCTATATAGTTAAAGATAGTAAAAGTCACATTTGTTTAAAAGTTATCTATAATTCAGCCTTCCCACAAATTCAGATATGCTCACTTCCCTAATTCACTGGAATAAATGAAATTTTACAATATTAACAGTTACAAAGCATTTTTCATTACATATGCATGAGAACATACAAACCTATAAAGAAAACCAAACACAATAAAGAGTGAAAATAACAAATGGCTTTACGGATAGACAAAAGATATTGTCTATTTCAAATAATTTTAAGTAATTTAGGTGCAATATTCTGGGAGAAAAAACCTCAATTATGTGGCCTTTTATTCCAAAGGTTGGTTTCACTCACTTGAGATGTTTCTAGTTCTAGTAATCTGCAGAGCAATAATAAGTTTTTCCAATTAAAGGCAGTCAGTGCCCAGGCCAAAAGTGGTGGATGCTCCCACAGAAGCATCTGGGAAGAGAAGTGTCACTGTACAACAATCTGGCCATTTCTAAATCTTCCTTGTATGTGACCATGACTTTTCAGAGTCCACATGTCAATTTTCTGCACAAAATGTTACTCACTAAAAAACTGTAAGTTTGTGCAAAATGTGTAGAATAATTATGTTATTTTAATAACCAAAATTGTATGTTGGTCAAAATGACTCAGATTCTAAACCAGATAAAATATATTCAATTTGAATTTACAAAATCTACGTGAACTAAAAGTGGAATATTCTTTTTGAAAATGACAGATTCTGAAGACAAATCTGGTTATTATTTGTCAGTCATGACATCTTTGTGCAAGAAATATTTTTATTTCTTTGGTAAATATCATAAGAAAATTTTAAAAAGAAGAAAGTCAATTGCGTTACTCAAATTAGTGGTTACTTACCACACCAAAGGGGAAAATAAACTTCAATTCCATTTCCATAACTTAAGACTGCTTGGTGGAGAGCCCTCTTTCAAGGGGTGCTCTGGCTGCTGTAAAACCTAGGAAGGAGATACATGTGTGAGATAGTGCATCATCAAGAAGAAAGCTACTCAAACAATATTGGTTAATGTCACTGGTTATTGCTCCTCAAAACAAGATCTATCTCTCAGCTGGCCATAAAAGTTAGAGCAAAAAGAAAAATGTTGAAGTGACCACTACCCTTGGAGACAGAATATATACCTGGAATTGAATTCTACTCTACAGTATTTGTCTAAGTAAATTTCATATCTATCCAAGTGCTTGACTTCACTGAGGCCCAGTTGCTTTGCCTCTCAGGAGGAAATAATAGTATCAGCTAGTCAGTGGAACTATTTTGATGGTCAAATGGAATAATGTGTGGAAAGATACTCAGTTAACAGTAAAAGTATTATTGAACTAAAATAAATGCGTTCTAAACTAGCCTCTGTACTTTGACACTGTTTGGTCCAAGTAGCCACTATACATAGTATTGTACTCTTGCTTGGTGTTGTAAGGAACCTTATTTTGAGCTTGGTGTATATGTATAATCATATGCATTGAAACCAAATGAATGTTGATCGATCTCCGGCTGGCAGAGGCTTAAAGTTGCAAGCAACAAAGACAAACATTAACTATAGCCAATCGGGTTGTTTCTGTTTGTCACTTCTTATTCTCTGGCTATAAATATAACCTACCCATGTGGTAGAGTGAAGCATTTTGAACCATCTTTTGTCTGGAATGTTGGAAGATTTTAAAAGCTTTTCTCTTATGTAAACTTCATCAAATTTAATTGGTTTTAGTTTTTCTCTTAACAGTTTTTAATTTGTTTATACCCTGAGTTTGTACCTTAAGGACTTGAAATGGCTTCCAAAACAAAACTAAAAAACAAGAACATAACAGTGAGACTAGAAAGGGACACACACACACACACACACACACACACACACGGAGGTATGCACACACTATCTATATTGATCAACATAAATGAATGAAATTGTAATTTGTATTTGAAGTTTTTGGTACTTTAAGTGATGGGAAGATATAATTTCTTCTATAACTTCTTTTCTTAGGAGAAAACATATCACTTCCCATTGCTTCCTCAAAGAAACAAAAGTTGCATCCTCCAGATATAAAATTCAAACAACCACTTTTTCATGTAACATACAATATAGGGATATTGAGACAAAATAGAGTATTTTATGAATAAGACTGACTAGTATGAAAAATTGAAAAGCAAGATAGTACTTCTGGTTGGAAGTAGTTATTACTCCTGTAAAAAAACTACTATTCCTAGAAACAAACCTGAAATCCTAAATACAAGTCCAATAACACTCAATTAGCAAATCATCTTGACCTCCTCCCTTTCTGATTCAGCCTAACAGACACACAGGAACATCTTAAGTAATTTTCTCAGTGTTGAGGAGGGGTTTTGGAAGGAAGTCATTGGTTACTGGTGACTCAGTGATGCTTGTTAATTGAGAGGTAGAGGTAGGATGGCCCTAGGTTTGACACAGAACTAGAAGTTGCACAGCCTATGTCTTGGGCCTTTTCAAAGGGAAAAGGAAAAGACATTAGTGATTATATCAGTGAAGCAATCACAGCATAAGGCTTCTTCCTTGAAAGTCACATATTTTTCTTGGCTTCATGAAACCTCACTTCATGTTTCCTAAGAACACCCCCAGCACACAGACAGACAGACAGACAGACAGACACACACACACACACACACAATGACTATTCCATTTCTGTGTACTGTCTTCTGCATTTCTTAAATATGAACTTTTTCTTGAGCAGATCCTCATCTTCACATAAATTTGCTTTTCTTTCCATACCATTTCCTTACTATCAAAGCCTTGTCATTCATTCTTACTAAAAGGCTTAGTGGTCCTCTTCATTCTTCCTTTTTACATGGTACCTCCCCACCAGAAATCATCCAGCTGATTACGGTACAACTTTAAAAGAAAGGTCTACTTTCCATACTTTCCAAGGTCATCATCAGAAACCTGTCTACCACCCACCACCTCCCAACAGGCAAAGTCTAGATAATGTGATTCCTCCTTCCAATGACCACCATTTCTCAGCTTTCTGGGTAATGCCAGTTTTCATCCTAAATCTCATACTTTTGTTTGAAAATTTAAACAGCTCTCCGATGAATTAAGTCCCAAACTGCCCAGAATCTGGGCTCAATCTATTTACTACTTTACCTGTAACATTTCCAAGGAACTTCCCTAGTCATGCTAAGCCATAGCTCTCCACAAGGCCACAACCTTCCCTGAAATGTTGTCTGCTGTCTCCTAGACCTTTGTGTAGATTTCTCTTGTCTGAAGTATTTATTCTTTTAATCCCTAGTTCAAATGGAATGTCCTGAATCCTGGAGAAAGAACTCATTATATCTCCCTTACAAAAGGTTCTTTTATTATGCCCTTACTATGAAAATCACATTTATGATACTTTGGTTTATTTTGGATTTCTGTACATCCAGCAATGCGCCTGTCCTTGGGAAATACATAATCTATTTAGACAAACCATGCAGATTCACATTTCTAACTTTCATAGGGTAATATTCAATGCTTGATTGTTGTGGATGGTCTATAAAGAATAGGTGACTAGATGACTTTTAAAAATCAAATAGTATATGCCAGTCCCTGAACATAGGATTAATGAGACTGTTTTTGAAAATATTTTCTCAGTCATAGGTAACAACAATATCATCCAAGTTTGGAAGACATATCGAATGAAAGGAGGAAGGATGGGGACAATTAAGACAAACAAGTATAAGTGATTCTATTTTTTTCTCTTTTGAACACAAATTTGATCATTTTATAAAAATTAAGTAAATGTTTACATTTGGGGAAACATTAATACATTTGAGATTGCCATATAAGTACCTTCATGGTTTAAGTACTTTTTATGGAGATCTTCCATGAGGGATAGAGAATGTCTTCCTGGTGCCCATCCTAATGATGGCCCATGTAAGATAGTGGAACCTTTGTTGAATACCTTTCAGCTGCTCCTCCTTGCCAACTGCTCACTTCCCTTTCACAAACAAACTAAGGCAAACAATGACCAATGCTTATCTTTCTTTTCTTACCTCCTGTATAAAGCTCATATTGCTTCTATCTAAAATCGATGTTACCACCTTGTTCACTGTGCTGAGATGGTAACTTCCACTCTGTCTCTCCATTGGGCAGATTTTAAACTTCTGTGTTGCATCAGAAGCAGAGAGGAAACTGAGGCTGTAGCGCACCTTACAGGAGTCACTAAGCATGTGCCCTGTGACAGCACAGCCCATGGGATCCTTCACTCACACAGCAATGCCAGCCAGTGAAAGAGGTAAGTCAACAGTGCTTTGTGAACACTTGGCTGTTTACCCTGCCCCCAGAGTCCCACTGATAGGAGACACAGGTGGGCTGTACTCACAGCATTCCCTCGTATACAAATTTAAATTTTCTCTCCAAATTCCAGAACTTTATTCAGCCCTGTGCTCAGATCCCTTCCAATTCTACTCCCTTTCTAGTGGCCACTAACATGTAAATAGACATTTCTCTCTATTTTGCATGCTTTCCAAGTATTTTTTTTAAAGACACGCAAAATGTAAATACATAAAATATTCTAATACAGAGAGAAGCAATTGCAACTATGTTTCTGGTACATATCACTTAGCAAGTTCTCTATTTTATTTCTAAAACAATTACCTCTTGATTAGTATTCTCCATTGTTGGTCCAAAAAACCCTTCCAAATTTCATCTTCATTTAACTGATAACCACTTCCACTCTTCCTTGCCTCATCATCATCAAGTAATCTAGATTGTCTTCTGTTTATTTTGTTAATTCTTTCATCCTTTATGGGGCCCACCTCTTTTTTTGCAGAACTGGGGATCCAACTCACGACCTCCCACTTGCCAGGCAGGCTCTTATGCCACTGAGCTAAATCTCAAGCCTGGGCCAGTCTTTTTCTGATGAGTCATTATGAGTTTTCTTTTTTGGACACTTAATGTCCCCCCAAAGTTTCTCTTTTTCCCCTCACTTTTATAATTTTTCTCTAAGCAATCAAATCCATCTCTAAACCTATGACTATGAAAAGTCACAAATGTATATCCAAACCTCAGTCATCTTTGAAAAGCTCCACATCCTTACCCCAAGTCTACTCACTCTCGCATGTGAAGTTCCAAGATAGCTCAAGCTGTCCAAGTCTGAACTTAACATCTGTTTTTGCAACCATATTTCCTTGTCACTTTCCGTGGTCTCTCTATAAATGTCACAGAAGAGACCTCTTCCAGGTCTCTTGAACTCACCCACTTTTCAGAAATTACTTACTTCTCTTCCCCTTCTGGCCCTGGTTATCCTTACCTCTCTACTGAAAATGTTCAACTGGTCAAATAGCTTTTGTCCTTTGCTAAGTCGTAGTGCACATTGTTGCCAGAACTATTGTTTCAGAACAGAAAACTAGTGTAACTAATTACAGTCAGCTTGTCAAACGAAAACATAAAAGCTCAACTTTCCATTGGTCCTACTATAATAACATATTCCATGATACAGCTAAAAAGATTTTCACGGTACTGGCTTCAGATTACCACTACAGGCTCACGCAGCACACCCACCTCTCTCCTCCAGACACTCTGCCCTTCTCGCTGCTCATGTTGACCAAGCTCTGTTGCTAGAGGGCTTTTCCATGCATCGTGCCTTCAGCCTGTACTGGTCTGGTGGACTCGTATACACTATTTAGGTTTTCTTTTCTAGAATGTGTATCTCTCCTGTGTAGCACTTAGAATGCTTTCAATTTCATATGTTTTTGCCCTTTTCCCACTCTCTGTCTTCCCTGGTCAAGTGAAGCAGGGAATAGCTAATGCAATTTATTGCATCCTAGCAGTCTCCGACACACAGCTGGTAATCAACAAAGATGACTTTATTGAAAATACGATGCATGATATGAATATGAAAACAAACAATGAAATTTTAGTGAGAAAAAAATGTACTGAGTCTGGAGTTTAAAAATCCTAAAAGACAGTATTGTCGTCACTCAGAAGACCATCGAGAACTT